CAGGACCTGTGCACTTCACTTTACCCCTTTTTTAAAAATTTCTCCAGAGCATTGATGCGAAGCCAGCATGCCACATCCGTTTACATTTGCTAATCCTGGGGGTGGGAATAGGGGTTAAAGGACCCTTTGTTTTCTATTCCCATCTGGACAATTCACATTGTGCAAAGAAACAACCCCAGAACTTGCCCACAGATTCTAGCATTGAGCAAGTCCGTCTGGAGGACCGAGGGAAGCAGGGCTGAGAAAGCCAGGCCGCCCGGCGCTCCCGCCCTGCGGAGGGAGGCAGCGGCCTGCGTCTGGAACACGCCTAGCTCGGCTGCCCAGTGCTGCCTGGACTTCACCTTCGGAATGCGCTGGACCCCATCACCCGTCACCACCTCACTCCCTCGCCCAGGAACCAGTCTCAGCCATCCCGCCCGGCTCTGCGGGCTCTGCGAGGCCAGTGCTGTCCAGCCCTCGGGCACTTTCCCAGAGGTGACTCATTTGGTCCTCTCAACAAGCATGTGAGGGGCACAAGGCAGGGACCGCCACCTCATTGAAAGATGAGCCGGAGCCTCAGAGCAGTCCCAAGAATTGCCTGAGCTGACTCAACAACTGGGAAACAGGAGAGGCCCCAAGCAATGACTCGCATTCGATTCAGGGTTTACTATGGGTCAAGTTCAGAGGCAGGACTAACAATGGGCCAGGTTCTCATCCCAAGTTATCTGATTTTCACAATAACCTGGCTTCACACAAGAGCCAATAAAGGCCCAGAGAAGCCAAGTATCCTACCTAAGGTCACACAGCCAGGAAGCCCCAGGACTTACAAGGTCCTGGGTTTTCTAACATGCCCCAACAACCTCTCTGGAACATTTCTCCATCAGGAAAATTCTTTTTCATGAAGAACATGAGCATCCTCTGAATATGTGACAAAGAGTTTCCAGGGCTCCTGGAGCTGAAAGCTGGGAGCTGGTCCTGGCGAATGTTTATTTGTTTATGTCATCGCCTCCGCTAAACCCAGTCCAGAACTTCGGAGTGACTCAGAAACCTCACCATCAGCAGCTGCTCTTTGATTGGAGCCACATAAGCCTCGACGGGGGAGGGTCGGGTCAGGCCAGTTCCTGGTAATCGGTGGAGCTGACCCCTTCTCCCCAGATGAGCACCCCATATGATGGGTGGCACAGATGGTAGCAGACAGGTGGGAGAGAAAGACCCCCTGCAACTGCCCTGCAAAAAGACTTTGACAAGATCAAGAAAGGGAACAAAGCTTGCCCACCCCCATGATGGGAAATAATCCACTTGCCAGGGAGGAGACAGGAGAGTGAGCAACCGGGGCCCACAGACACTCACATGGGCCTTTTCCATGAAGGGTCTACAAGCCCAAAACAGAGAATGCATCTTAAACTGTATCAGTCACCAAAAACCTGTTCTTTCTACCCAACCCCACTAGCCCTAAGTGAAGAGCCTCTGGGGTCCTACGGTCAGAAAAATAATGAATGTTTCATTTTTGTTTCTTTGTTTAAGGCAACCGGGTCTTCTTTCAAACATCTCACATAGCCCCTTACTCTGCCCCTCCTTCTGACAGCTGAGAATTATCCCCCAACTGGTTGACACATACTCCCTTCTCCCAAGACAGCCTGCTTTCCCCGCCTGCGTTGTTCCTAGTGCCTTTCTCTGGTTAACCAGGCACCTTAGGCAAGAGGTTCAAACTCACCCACCCTAGCCCAGGTTTCTAGTAGCCAAGGCCATCATCCCGCCTCACTACCAAGAGTTCTACGTGCACTTGCTGTAAACCTTCAATTGCCTCCAAACTCACTCAGGGATAAAGGGGGGTTGGAGAAAGGTGGGAGGTCAAGCAGAGACCCTCCTGGAATCCGCTCCCTTCATTAACTTTGGAATTCCACAGGCCAGTGTTTTCTCAAGCCTTCCAACACTCAGCACTCACCCAAGAGGAAAAGGCTGCAATCCTCACACCGCAGGCTCCAGATGGAAAAGCCAGGTCGCAGCTTCCTGGGGAAAAGGGAGGGATGAGGCCAGCAGCCACCAGCAGCCACAGGGCCCCTGTGAGGAGGAACTAACATTTAGAGAGCAAATAGTAGCTGGCCACACTGAGGTAAGAACCAGGGATTCAGCATCATTATGGTCCCAACTTCGTAGATGAAAAAAGTGCAGCTCAGAGAGGCTTAGGAACTAAAGCAAGGTCACACAGCTATGAAACAGCAAAGCTTCAAAACTTCCTTGTGTTTTTCTCCCACAGGGGCACCTGGGCGCCCTTGGGTCTGCACAGGGTCACCATGAGGCAAGTACTGTGACTCGCTCTCCAGGCTGAATCTGGAGACCAGGGGTTCTCAATGACAACCATGGCATAGCTTAATGGCCAGTGTTTATGAATGTCCAGAATGTGCCTGGTTAACCTTCCAACCTGGCAAGGTGGGTGTGCCTCCCCTTTTATATATGAAGAAACAGGTTCAGAGAGATCCAGAGAACTGCCAAGCTTACCTCTGGAGAGAGAGGAGAACTGGTGTGCACTCCAATCTGTCACCCTTTACCTCCCTGCTGCTCTTAGCCAGTGGTACTCAAGAGTGTGCCATGGGGTTTTTGCTCCAAAGACCACATTCTTCCAATAACTGTGTCCCACAGCAAGTGTCACAGTGCTCCTAAAAGCTGTGTCTCAAGTGTCCCAGCTTAGAAGAGAAAGTAGACATTTTCCCTACCAATGAGGGTAGAAAGGTCTAGAGAAGGAAGGTGATCTGCCCAAGGTCACACAGCCCTGGGGGCCAAGAAGGCAGTAGAAGTTGCATCTCTCAGTTCCAGGTATTTGGCCTAGTGGCTTTGGTATCAGAAGGAACTGGTTTCAAATCCTGCCTGTGTGGCCTGGGGAGACCTGCTTTCCCTCTCTGTGCTCCAGTTACTTCAGCACTAAAAAAGACCATAATCATAGTGCCTACTACATTGGTATGTTCTAGGCTTGAAATAGAATAAGGTCTGCCACGTACCCTGCACAGAGATCAGCTTAGTAAACAGTGATTATTCCTCCATCACTGTCCACAGGGGGCACCCTCGCAGACTCAGGGCAGGTGCTTTGAGCAGCCAGAAAGGAGGGGGAGCAGGAGTCTCATTTCTTGTTGTGACCCTTCCGTGTCTTCTGGTGCCCAAGCCCACCCTCACTCTCCTAGGAGGAGCAAGAGATAACCAGGACCACCACAATGGGGTTGTTCTAGGAAGTAACTGATAAAAGGAGAAAATCCAGGGCTGCAAGCCATGTGATAAGTGAGGGTGCCAGCAGCCAAAACAGGAGGCAGGGGGAGGGATGGCCAGAAGAGGTGCCAGAGCCCTGTGAAGGCAGAAACAAAAGGGGCAGTTCTGGGCCTTGGTGTCCCCACTCACTTTTCTAGCGGAGCCCTTGCCAACCCCAGGATCAGTCTGCCCACCACTGCAAGCCCAGCTAAACCTCCCAGCCTTCCATGCCCCGACACCCGAACAGCCCCCCTTGGATCACTCCTCATCCTGCCCTGCTTGGCCACCGGACAATGAGCACAGCACCCACCACACTGGCCTGCAGATCACCACTCACCCAAGGGCACAGGCTCCCCGAAGACCAGGAGGCCCAGGTGCTGGACTGTGATGCCAACCCCACTGCATCCCAGGGCCCAGCACTGTGCCTGCCTCCTTCACGCAGTGGGGGACTGAGGTCTTATGAAAAGTCTCTCTCCAGGGTGATGAAAAGGGCACTCAGTCCTAAGGACCCCAAGAGCATGCCATGGCTGGCAGTACTGAGCGCGCGCACACGCGCGCACACACACACACACACACACACACACACACAAATACACACCCTTTGGCTTCCTGCTCTGCATTCTCTTAGATAAAAGACCTTGGGAAAGTTATATGGCCTCCCAAAGCCTCAAAGTTCTCAACTGTAAAATGGGCATACCATTGCCCACCTAGTGGGACTGCTGGGCTGTTGGAGCTGCCACTCTCCCGCGGGCAGCCCAATGCTAAGGCAACGTCCCCGGAGCTGCCAGCCTCACAGCTGCCAACTCAGGCCTCCTGCTTGTCAACTGCAGAACCACCACAGGCCTTCATTGCCAAGTCCAAGTCCAGCTGTTGCCTCCCTCACCTGCTGCTGACCTGTCACTCAGCCTTCCCACGGGCTCCAAAGACTGTAACCTTTGATCAACTGTCCATGCCAACCGGCAGTGCCCAGTTCACAGTCCAGCACAGCCCACCTGGCTCTGCTAAGAAAGACTCAAGCGAAGCCTCCCTTCCCCAGAAGCTTCTCCCAAGCAGCCCCGAGCCCTCACATGGCTCAGTGTCTGCTGCAGGCCAGGCATGATGCTGGCTGTCAGCACATCAGTCAGCCTCTATGCTGCGATCCCCGACACCAATCTCGTGAAGTATGACATTACTTCACTCCTACTGAATAGAGAGGGAAAGGAATGCAGTAGTCCCATGCCCAGAGTCACACAGTAGGTACAGGTCAGAGATTCAAACCAGGTCCTTGGGCTCCACAGGGACCCTGCTGACATCCAGCTCTGTGTAGCTCTAAGCATAGAGCCAAAAAATTGCCCCCTAATGCTACCTGCTTATTTACTCTCCAGTGTCTTACTTCAGCAATGATCATGTCTTAATTCACCGTCCTTGCAGCAGAGACACTGTATGCCAGGCACTATGCTGTGTTTTAGAGACTGAGAGCCACACGGAAGAGGCTGGCCTTCAAGCACTAACAGTCAGCTAGATGGAGACAGACACAAAACCAGGGAAAACCAGTGAGGGTGACAGATACAATGACACATGTCAGCAAAGGAAACAGGGGTGGCTCCCAGGAAGCACCTATCTATTTTCATCTGTCTCCCAGAGCACTAGCACCAAGCCAGACACACAGAGTGAGCTGGTTAAAGTACAGCTCCTTTTGAGAGCCAGCCACATCAGGTGACCTTGCTATGACTAGCCAGGCCAGAGTCACCTGAAGCCCACGTGAGTTCTTGACAGACATGCATTAGACGTGAGGCAGGACTTACATTTCCTAGGGAGCCCCACAGGGAGCTGGAGAGACCCAACCAAACATTCCTGTTCAAGATCAGAATTCAGGCAGCTGTGGTCCTCCGTCCCCCTCGGGCATCCGGGCTGCAGGAATCCATGAAGCTCACAACCGGGGCCTTCCTCAAATCCACCTTCAGCATCCAGAAATGTGTGTAATTCCAGGGAGGGCTTCCACCAGTGTTATTTCCAGGCAGCTGAACATCACTGTAAATCCATACAGCTCAGAAAATCCTTGGATGAAGCTCCATGCAGCTGACAGGTATGGCCATCATGGGGGTATCTTTTTAATTCCTTTCTGGTCAAAAGATCACGCCTGGGGACAAGAAGAAGAAAAACCAATCTTGTTAAAATCACAAACCCAGAGCCATAGTTGGTTATACTCCTTTCGTTATATTTGTCCCTAACATACTTAGAGGGGAACCCTCTAAAAATAGTGCCCTAGAGCTCCGGTACCAAACAAAGTGAGACAGGGGACCAGGAAACCTTCAGGGCAGTGTTGCCTCCCTCCCAAGGGCATCAGACTTCTCAAAGGGGATCTTTCTACTGCATAGTACTCTTCAGAACTACCCTGGGAGGGCAGAAGGGGTTGAGATTCATTCATTATAAAGATGAGGAAAGAAGGTTCCAGAAAGGTCAGGGGGCTGGCTTAGGGAATTAACAGCTCAGCCAGGACTGGCACACAGCCCTGGTCTCCCATACAGGTCTGAGAGGTCCTGGCAGTGAGCTGCGGGGGTTTGGGGTCAGCGGGTAGGAAGTAGTTCCTTGTTTTGTTTCTTTTTAAAGACAGTCACTCAGCCCTGGCGAGGCTCCAGGCCTTGTCCTGTACTGAGAGGTTCTTCAGGGCAGGCCTGGGACCTGTTCCCTTTTTCATTCATTCATTCAGCAATGGCTGAGCGCCTACTAGGTACCCAGGACTGTTCCAGCTTTTGTCTCTCACCTCAGTGCACTAAATTATTACGGAGATAACTGAAGAACAAATGGATCCACCATGCACAGGCCTGGAGGCCCAACAGTCACCAGCAGCCCACCGATAACAGTAACTGCCCTTCATGGAGTGCCTGAAACTTGCCTTGCTAAGAGCTCTGGCCACCATCTGATACAAACTCCTAACCTCACTGGAACTCTTGCCTCAATGTTCCAGATGAGGAAGCAGGGGCACAGACAACTCCCTTGCTCCAAACTAGTAAGAGGGGAGCCCAAACCTGAGGCCAGTCTAGGTCCCATGTCTGCACCCCAATCCACTCCCTCATTTCTAGTGAGGGACGCCTAGCCAGAAATCCGTACCTAAAACTTACCACCGGGCATTTCCCATGCACAGAATCCTCATGTAATCCTCACAGCACCTCTATGTACTAGAGACTATCCCAATCCCAGTTTTAGAGAGAGGAACATGAGACCCAGACAAGTTAAGCAAGTTGCCTAAGATCACACAGCTAGAAAATCCTAGAACAGAATTGGAAGTTGGGTGTCTAGCTCCAAATCTTGACCACTGCACCAACTGCCATCAAGACCAATTTGCTGCAATAACAAATTTTCCAATGCTTAGTGGTATAAAATAATGCCAATTTATTATCTTACAGTTCTGGAGGCCAGAGTCTGACATAGTCTCATGGAGCTAAAATCAGGTGTTGGCTGGACTATTCCCTCTGGAGGCTCTAAGGGGGTCTGTCTCCTTCCCTTTCTAGCTTCCAGCGGCTCCTCTGAGATGCCTCAGCTGAGGCCTCCCTCTTCCACCTCCACATACAGCAACACAGCATCTCTCTGGCCGGCCTCCACTGTCACATCTCCTCCTGCACCGACCCTTCTGCCTCCCTCTTCCACTTCTCAGGGCCCGTGAGATACCCTTGGGCGCAACTAGATTATCCGAGATAATCTCTCCATCTCAAGGTCATGAATCTTAATCATGTCTGCAAAGTCCTTTTTCTGACACGTAAGGTCTGGGGACGTGGACATGGACATCTTTGGAGGCCCATTGCTCATAGCAGCCACCCTAGGGGACACCCATCCTCCACTTTAATCATTCTTCAGTGACCAGGAGTCGCAGGGTGGGCTCCCCCATCCCACTTAAACCCACCTGACATAGTTTTTAGACCAAAGAGAAAGATGAGTTCAAAAGGGGGCTTAAAGAGTCTAAATATCAATAAAGATTTTTTTTTATTTTTTTTTGAAAAGAGTCTAAATATCAGCCGTAAGAGAAAAGTACAGGACAGGGGTTAAAACATTAAAATTTGAAGTCAAACTACCAAATTGATTAGCCATGTTCCTCTGGGGGGATATGTTTAACCCTTAGCATCCTCAATCACACCTACTCCCTTCGTGAAACTGCTGTGAAGCCACGTGAAATAATCAACAGAAAGGCCTGGGCATGTTGCCTGCACATACTGAGAGCTGGAGTAGCCATCCTCGGCTCCCACAGCAAACACCAGGACCACCAGGCCAGCATCACCCCACAATGTCAGGACACAGTCGGTCAGCGGAGGGGGCTCCTTACAGCAGGGAGGGAGCAGTGACTTACGGTACTGGCCCCAGTGGATGGCAGCGGAAAGAATGGAGGACAGTCTGTTAAATATTTGCTGAGGCCCCCGGGCAAGTCTGCAGCCAAGTCTGTTTGGTTGGGGTCCGGCACATTAAAGCTCCGTCACCTGGGAAGGAATTATTGCACGCTCTGTTGGGTATTACTGCAGCAAAGCCGTGGTCCCTGACCCAGGGCAGGGCAGAGCCGAGGCGCAGCCAGTTGGCAGCTGCCATGGGATCCCCCGGCCAGGATGCAGGACGCAGGGCGCTGCACATGACTTCTAGGATCACTGAAGGGAACCCTCTCTCCGGGAGCATTTTCCTTTTCTGTGGTATGTGAGTCCTTTCTGGTCATTTGCTCTTTCTGTAATGGATTGGCCAAAATTAAAAAGACAGGCAATACCAAGGACTGGTTTCAGTGTGAAACTGGAATTCTCCTACCTGCGGGTGGACAGACACTCTGAAGAAATACACACAGCCACTTTGGGAAACTGTTCTGCACCACCCACTAAAGCTGAACATGTGTGCACCTCGTGACCGAGCAGGTGCACTCCTGGGTATAAACTCACAGAAATGTGCATGTGTGTTCACCAAGACACATGTCTTAGTATGTTCATGACATAACAGCCCAACACTGGCAGCTACCTGAATGCTCATCAACAGCAGAATGGATTGTACCACAGAGTGATGAGAATGACCTGCGCCTGCACACCACACAAATAGACCCACCAACGTAATCTGAGTGAGAGAAGCCGGGCACAAGGGAGTGGATATGACATTATCTATATTAAATTCATAAAGAGGTCAAACTAATCTCTGCTGTTAAAGGTCAGGACAGGGTCAAGGTCATCCGTGATGGGGGGGGGCAGTGAGTGATGGAAGGGGTGGGAGGGGGCTCTTGAAACGCTGCTAATGTCCTATTTACCCAGGTGGCAGCTACGCACAGACGTTCAGTGTGTGATAGGTGTGCTTTTTTTTTTTTTTTATGCATGTCACCTCAATAAAATGTTGGTTAACATTTTTTTCTAATTTCTCCTGTGAAAGTATGTTGCTGGAATAATGTAGACTTTGCAACACACAGCCCTAGAGGCTTGGGAATCAGCTCCTTCCAGGTTTCCCTGGTCCTCGGTATCTTCATGCCCCACTGCCTTCCAGCTGACCCTGCCCCCGGAAAGAGCTAAGGGGGATACTTTGCAAATAAAACGCTGGAGCCTGGTGACACGGAATTCAACATGGAGTTGCCCCATGGGGAAATATGGCCCTCAGCCCCATTCTCTTGGATGAGTCTTTCTCCTCTGCCTCCTGGGCTGTCAGGACCAAACATGTCCTTTCCTTCTTGACCCTTCCTACCAGGTATTTCAGAAAAACAGGTACCTCTACCTCCTACCCAACTCCAAGACAGCATCTTTGAACACCAACACCCCCTAAATGTGGGATGCATAGGGGTTCTCTGGTAACCGGAAGACTTAGGTGCACTGGGCTGGCACAGCCTGGCGAATGGGGCACCAGGCACAGAGACAGAGCCAGGTCAGGAAGTCCCGGGCACAGTTTGCTGCGGGAGCCACGGGGCAGGTCTCCAAGCCTGCGGGTGACGTGTGTTATCCCCTCTCTCTGCTTCTAGGGCGCCTGGCCTCTGTGGGTGTTTTCTCTCTTTCCCTCTCTTGCAGCAGTTATGTTGCTGACTTTGGTATGAGCAAGAGTCAGCAGGGTGATTGTCACGCCTCTGAGAGGGAGCCAAGGGCAGCGCTGGCTGGAGAGATGATGAAGCATTTCTCGCAGGCGAGTCAGGTCGGCAAGGCTCTCCCCACCTTCACAGGCCTCACTCTCTTCTCTCAGGTTTGTAAAGTAAGAGTTTTTCCAACACCGATGCCACAGAAGAGGTGTCGGCTTCGCCCTTTTCTGGCGAAGGGAGAGGCAGTGATTTCTCTGGCGGGGCCTGCCTAGCCTGGGAACATAAATCAAGGAGATCTGTTCCCCGAGAAAGTGTCCGCTGTCCTCCTGCTGACAGACTGTATTTTTGCTTCATTTCAGTCCCTACCCACAGGGTGCTGGGATGACACGGATCAGCTGCTTTGGAATTTCCCGGCACACGCTCATTCATGGGATAGGGGATGAAATGGGGCTTGGGGACAAAATAAACCAAGTGTGACTCCCAACACTGCAGTCAGTTGCTGACTATGGGAACATCCCTTGCGGTCTTTGAAAATGGTTCCTCATCTGTTTAATAAAAACCAGCAATTGAAATCCATGTGCTTTGGGGTTCATTGTGGATGAGAAACTGTATCGAAAACACTTGACAAACAGACCTGCCCGCGGTGGGCTCACAACTTAGACAAAGCATCAGCATCAGCCACAATAACAGCCCTGCCTGGCTAATATTTTTTTTTTAATATGTCTTTATTGATTTCAGAGAGAGGAAAAGAGAGAGAGAGAGAGATAGAAACATCAACGATGAGAGAGTCCTTAATCAGCCGCCTCCTGCAAGCCCCCAACTGGGGATCGAGCCGGCAACCCGGGCATGTGCCCTGACGGGGAATCAAACGGCAATCTCCTGGATCCTAGGTCAGCACTCAACCGCTGAGCCACACCCGGCCAGACCCAGCTAATATTTTTGCAGTTTCCACCAATTAGGCTCGGGAGATGCAAACTGTATCTCCCGAAACCAGTATGTTCACTAATGCTAGTGAGTTGGACAATGTTCTGCACTGTGGCCTTCATAGGAGGTGAGAACGGGGCCCACAGAGAGCGAGCCCTCCTGTGGCCAGGCACCCTCACCTGTACTGTGCAACGGAGCCTTGC